AAGGACACAATATCGAAGGTAAAATACACTGCACCGTTACAAAAGTGGATGAAACCTTCTTTCAAATCTTCTTCAGCCATTTATGATTATGCAAAAGTACAATAACTGGATGATATTTGCGGGATTCGGCGATAAAAAGCAAACAAGACGGCAAAATATGGCTGAAATCGTGTTTTCGTGGGGGGTAAGTGAAATAAAATGTATTATATTAAAAGAAAACAATGACAATCCTTATGAAATCCACAATAATTATATTGAACTAAGCATAGTTTTTCATCCCATGATAATTTTTTAGGAAATAAGAAAATTTAATTTCTGCCAGGCATATTAGTTATTTTGTGCATAATCAGCATTTTACCTGGGGTGGTGCATGGTCATTTTCTGGTAAAATATTATACTTAGACAAATTTTTCCTTCCAATAACAACCCCTAAAAGCAACCTTTCTAAACACTACAAGCACTTCAGAAAGGCTATTGCTTTTCCTTTTCGGAAGTTAGAGCTATGTCGACACTGTCGTTTCAGGGCGGGGTCATTTTCAGGACCTTCGCCCCGGTTTCAGGTTTTCGCACATATGCCATGTTGACCGCCATGGTCATTTTACCCTAAAACAGTTGAGATTACTTGTCCTAAATGAATCGGATGCAAACTCATATACAGGTCCTAGACTATATGTCTTACGATCAACCTGTAGTTTTTTTAAAAAAATTATATTTGCATATAACATGATTTTAATCAATTAGTTATTTAAAGTGTGTCGAAAGAGAAATATAGACGATATGTGTTCGAAAAGCACAAAGATCATCTGTCAGAAGCTGTCTTCTATACGATTACAGTTGTGGTGGGAGTTGGTTTTTTTCGTCTATGGGGAATACACATGCTGTGTATTTGTGGGGATGGAGTGCTCCCAAAGGTCACCCTCAACCCCATAGACTCACACAAATCAATGTATTATACAGTGTATCGTAAAGTAAACAATGACCATCACGGGGATCTACTGCCCCTTGGACATTAAAGTAAACAATGACCATCACAGGAATCTACTACCCCTTGGACATTAAAGTAAACAATGACCATCACGGGGATCTACTACCCCTTGGACATTTAGGATGCCCATCTCGGGGATCTACTACCCCTTGGGTAAAGTCCAACATGGGGGAACCACGACCCCCTGAGGACATATAATTATATCATAATCATATTGCTGTAATAGTGAGTCGGTGGGGCGATACTTTGGCCACAGTTTAAAGTATAATCGGAGCATTTCTCCTCGACAACATTTCTCCCACAACATTGTGTGTGTCATAGTTGTTTTCTTAATTGTCTTAGATTATTTGCTTAACGAATTGGTGCATTAAACCAAAGAATAATTATCTAAGTCATATCACCAACGAAAATAGAAGGATAAATCTATATTTCTGAGCAAAAATTTTGAAATTTAGGTATGCATTTGATTTAAAAAATAGTGCTGAAAATATGTCGATATTTTGCCTTCATTCGGAGTTCAAGTTGGTTACCAGTCGATCGAACATCAATCGCCCCCAAAAATAATTTAAAGGAAATTTGAGTAAAATGAAATCGATTTTATTTGTTCCCAAGGATAGATCTTCAAAATACTAGAGTATGAGAGAAATCTATTTTTGAGCCCCATATTGACCTGGAGGTTTTTACGGAGACAGCCTCTTAAGGGTCTAGAAATGATATTTTATACCGAAAGTTAGCCTAGTCACTAAGTTGAATACCTAATGCACTTGTCAATTGAAATCCCGGTCCCCCCACTCCCGGGACATGGCGGGCATTAACGGGGACACGGCCGTGGATTAACGCTTATTTAATGTAGCATTTTCCCCGGGGTGCAGGGTAAATAGCGAATCTATATTTCAAGGGGATTGTGTAGCCGGGACTTTAACTCTCGGCTGGAACAATAGTGGACTGGAACGAGTTTATCCTCTTGAGAACATGCGATACCGTACCTTTGATAACGTTTGAGATACTGTATTTTAATTGATCACAACAAAAACATGGCGCCCTGTACGTTTAACCATAATTGTTTGTATAGGTAATAGTATTGTTTCGAGTGCAATTTGGAAAGAAACACGAACGTACGAGTGACTGAGTTATTCGAAGACTATCAAAATTGCACGAGTTCGAAGGATGAGTGCAATTTGAAGTCTTTGAAAAACTCACGAGTGTAAGTTTTTTTTTTCAAATTGCACGATAAATCATATGTTACTTATCAATCACTGGATCGAGACCTGGTGGCATGAAGAACAGTGGGATTTTCAAAACAATGAAAAGACATTGGGACATTCTGATCACTGAAGCATGTCTGGATGACATGGAGAACAGTGGTATTTCAAAACATTGAAAAGACAATGCAACATTCTAAATATTATATAAAGGGACATAGGGATGAGATGAGTTGATATTTCTCTTTCCGTTCAAATTTGTGACATTGTATTTTCCAAAATTTTAGGCTCTGACGAAAGCTGGGGCGACCAAAATTAGTGCTTACGTCACTCATGGCATGTTTCACAGCATCAGTTGTTCCGTTTGAAAATTTCTTCATAACGGATTCATTACCATACGCTGAAGAAATTGTAAAACACAGACCTTTTCAATTATTTCTTTAACAGCTGCCATCGCCGAAGCTTTGCTTGGATTTAATCTCAAACAAAGACAGTCAAGGACAGTTTGGCTCGAAGTAGAAGTTTGTTGAGTTCTACTGTGAGACACTATCAATTTCATATGGATCAGATCATGATAAATTATACATGCCAAGATATCTGAGTGCTGCTCGTTCAATCAAGGTTGCCGAGACATTGATACGATAATTTTCATATGGATGGGTTTCGCCAAGTACATGTTTTAATTTAAATTTAATTTAAAATGAAATTTATATTGCGCCAATTACATAAAAATCAAAGGCGCATTACAGGTGGATGAGAATAAAATATTACAATAATCAGAAGATATCTAAGCATTAAAAGCACGGTTAAAAAGCAGAGTCTTGATATTGCTCTTGAAGGTTGATAATGAATTAGTGGCCCTAATAGCCTTAGGCAAAGAGTTCCATAGTATGGGGGCTGCAGATGCAAATGCTCTATCTCCCAATGTCACAAGTGATTTGCCAGGTGGTGGCACTAGTAAGGTCTCTTCATTATTACGTAAATTGTACCTTGAGGGCTTTTTAACGTTTACAATGTTGCAAATATAATCAGGCGCAATACCGTGAATTGCCTTGAACGTGATTAATAAGACCTTAAATTCGATACGATAATTAATTGGAAGCCAGTGGAGACTACAAAGTACAAGTGTAATGTGGCAAAATCTAGGTAGTTTACAGATAAGCCTGGCTGCAGCATTCTGCACCCGTTGTAATTTGGCCAGCTCATACTGCGGCAGTCCAAACAGCAAACTATTGCAGTAATCCAACCGTGTGGTGATAAACGCATGAACCAGAATTTCCGCTGACTCAGGTGATAGGTATTTTCTAATTCTTCTAATATTGTGGAGATGATAAAAAGCTGTTTTGCATACTTTATTAATGTGCGTTTCTATGGTGAATTTTTCATCAAACCAGGATCCTAGATTTCTAACAACTTTCGACTTATCTACGACAAAATCACCAATTTTGATCTGAGAAATATTCACTTTGGTAAGTTGCTGTTTAGTACCTATAATGAGGAATTCGGTTTTGTCATCATTCAATAAGAGTCTGTCGTTTCTCATCCATGAGCGGATGTCACGTATACAGTTTTCCATCGCAGCTAAGGCTTTGTTCTGCTCCATATAGCTATCAGGCTTAAATGCCAAATATGGCTGGGAGTCATCTGCAAAGCAGTGAGCATCTGGAAGATGCTTTTCGATTATGTCAAACAGTTTAGATGCGTAGATGACGTAAAGCAGGGGACCAAGGCAAGAATCCTGAGGAACTCCACAACTTAACTGAAAATAGTTTGAAAGAAAACCTGAGATAAATATACGCTCCTGCCAGTGAGGTACGAGGCAAACCAGTCTAGAGGTTTACCAGTGATACCGAATGTAGAGTGAAGCCTACTCAGAAGAATTTCGTGGTCTACTGTGTCAAAGGCGGCACTAAGATCTAGCAATACTAAGAGAACAACGTTCTGGGAATTCATTTTCATAAGTACCCCCCTTGTAGAATCCGACATATTTATAAGCTATTTTATACCTATTTTTTCTCTATTTAGCCCTATTTTTTCCGTATTTTTTCAAAAATATGTCTATTTTATTACTATTTGTCAAATTTCATAAAATAGTATCTGACTATTTACACCCTATTTAAAATATAGGTTATATATATTTTTCAAAAAAATAGCTTTGAAATAGATATTCAAATCCTATTTGAAAGAGTAATTGACGGAATCTCACTATAAAATAGCTTTTAAATAGCTATTTAATTCCTATTGATGACAAACGAGTTAGTTAAAATAGTTTAAATAGCTATTTTTAAACTATTTTTGCATATCTTCTTTGGAGCCATTCTTAACATAGTTATTAAATAGCAAAATAAATAGGTCTTAAATAGCTATTTGATTCCTATTCATAGAAATTTGTGGCGAACTTTGTTCAAAATAGCTATAAAATAGCTATTTTTAAACTATGTTTGCTTTTATTTTTGGAGATATTATTGAGTATTGTTAAAATAGTTATTAAATAGCAAAATAAATAGATCTTAAATAGCTATTTAATTCCTATTCATAGAAAGTTGTGGCGAACTTTGTTCCAAATAGCTATTAAATAGCTATTTTTAAACTATGTTTTCTTTTATTTTTTAATTTTTTGAGCCATTCTTAGAATAGTTATTAAATAGCAAAATAAGTAGATCTTAAATAGCTATTTATTTCCTATTCATAGAAAGTTGTGGCGAATTTTGGTCAAAATGGCTATTAAATAGCTATTTTTAAACTATGTTTACTTTTATTTTTATAGCTATTGTTAAAATAGCTAATAAATAGCACAGTGCCTTTTTTAAGGAAATTTTACTAGGGGTGGGGGGGGGGCTAAACAGGAAAAAAGCCAGAACGAAAAATATGACCCATCAAAGTTTGGCGAACACGCGATTCTGAAGAGAGATTTTGTAAAACTTTAATTTATTAACTTCACCTATATAGACAATAACTTCAACCCTTTGTAGCTATAATCGTACAGCTATAACCAGTGGCGCAGCCAGACCTTAATTTTTGTTGGTTTTTTTTTTGTGGGGGGGGTTCGAACAGTCTAGGAGGGTCGGGGGAAATTTTCAAATCTAGGGTCCCTGAATTGCGATTTCAAGCATTTTGGGAGTGAAATTCCGAAGAGTTCAGAAGATTATAAAGTACATCGAAGACATGAATTTTTCCAGACATTTCTACTCGGAATTAAATAAATTGGAAAAGTCACCTTGAGGAGACTAGGAGGAGGGGTCAGTGTCACCTTATTTCCTCTCTGTGATGCTTGGGGGGGGGGGGGATCCCTATGTGATTTTGATCAGAAATGTTGCATTTAAATCATTTTCGGTTCTATGAGACACCATTTCCGCATTCTCAAACTAAATCTATTCTTCTTGGAAACAGCATTTTATTGGATTGTTTGCATGAAATCTATCGCTATTATGAAATACTCGGTGAAGAACAATATGAATTACACACAAGATAGCTGTGGAGGAGGCTATGGAAGGGCATAATCTCATTATCAAGTAAATCAACTGCAATTCTGACAGCAATCATGAGCAATTCTGCTTCGCACTTCGGGGGCAGAAATGGCTTTACTGGAGGGGGGGCATTCTTTCCCTGGGCGGCAATTGCCCCCGCCCCCCAGATATACAGGGTGTATAAAAAAAAACTGAACAGATTTGAAATTGCTCTCAATTTCGCAAAACACCTATTTGTATCCGGTTTTTTATATATATAGCTTCTTTGGGTACTTATAATGTAGAATAATGAAAAAATTTTCTCAAACTCAAATTTTGTGGACCAGGGGTGTGTGTCTTTTCCAACAAACTAAAAATGACTCGCGCACAAAATTTAAAAGGTGTAATCATATTTTGAGTTTATAGATGGAAACTTTGTCGAGTTTTTAATTACTGTACAAAATTTCAGACAATTTGGTTTAGTTTAAGCTCTTTAACTATTTATTTTATTCTAAAAATCAGCTTTTCGCATGCTTAATTAATGCCTTTACCTAATTTGCATATTGCTGACATATGCAAATTAGGCAAATGCATTAATTAAGTATGCTAAAAGCTGATTTTTAGGAAAAATGTAACTTTGCGTGAATAGTTAAAGGGCTTAAACTAAACCAAATTTTCTGAAATTTTGTGCAGTAATTAAAAAGCCGACAAATTTTCCATCTATTAACTCAACATATGATTACAACTTTTAAATTTTGTGCGCGAGTCATTTTTAATTTGTTGGAAAAGACACACCCCCCTGGTTCACAAAATTTGAGTTCAAGAAATTTTTTTCATTATTCTACATTATAAGTACCCAAAGAAGCTATATATATATATAAAAACCGGATACAAATAGGTGTTTTGCGAAATTGAGAGCAATTTCAAATCTGTTCAGTTTTTTTTTATACACCCTGTATAGTTAAAACAGGCACTGAAATAGCAAAATAATTAGATCTTAAAAGCTATTTATTTCTAATTCCTATTCAAATTGAAAGTTGTGAGAATTTAGAAAGGGTAAATGTATTTATTTAACTGGTCAAAATTTCCCAGTTTGAGTTAATTTTAAATTTCTCATCAGTTCATTGAAATTATATTTACAAAAATATTTATAGTATTTGTGGACTTTGTGGAGGTAGGTATTTTGTCTCTTGACAAAACAGCATTTTTGACAAAACACCATGCCATGAATACCACCAAGAATTCTCACGACGAGCGCAGTTTCACAGACTGGTGCCTAATTTTCTTACAACGCGCGCAAAGCTTTCTGGGATAGCGTCACAATTCACAACGCCATATTTTAAAATTTTTTTGTTTTAAACTTTCCGCTCGAAATGACTCAAATACAGAGCTTTTATTGAGCGAAAGTGTTACTTATTGTAAAGATAAAAGGACAGGGATGACTGGGTGACATCCAGGTAAGAATTTTGTTATGTTTTATATATAAATAGAGCAATTTTGAAAGGAAATATTTACTATCTTCATTCGTGAATTTTGAGCACATGTTCCGGCTTAAAATTTCAATTTGCTGCGACAGTATTTGAATTAAAACAACATTAGTTTTATAGAATGGCTTACATTTGACTCAGCCTTTATATTTATAAATGATGTTTATTGTAATGCCAAATAGTATACTTTGATCTTTGTGTATACTATAGTGTATATGACAGATTGCCAGATTCCAGTGTTTGTTGTATAAAATAATATAGCTTGACATGATGGCATCTACTCAATTCTCATATGCCTACCCAGACATGTCCCAGCTAAACATGGTTTGAGAAAATTTATCGACTGGTTTCAAATTAACTGGTACTTTCATAAGTTTCCAATATTTATTCATACATAGGTAGGTGAGTTTAAGATAGATAAAAATATCAATTTGATGTGTTTTTGTCATATGTGGCAACTTGATTATAGATGTGTCCCTAACTGGAAACAGTTAAAGTCCTTAGTTTGCTTGTTCAAACTTATGAATACATTTAGTTAATACACCATATGTTCTGCTTAATAATATATGTAACAACCTTTGGCTACATTAATTTTATATATTTTAGAGACACCCCGGCAAGGGTTTGATTGTTTTTGGAATTACCCATTTTACTCCAATGAGCCCAATATTCAGCACTTTGTTATTAAATGTTATCTTGCCTAATGCCGGACAATTTTATTCATCAAGGGAAGTGTCTAGCAAGCGTACTAGACTCTGCCCATGTTTCATGTTGACATCAAACACTTCCTACTTAAATAATAATATCAAAGTACTTAACTCTGACATTTCATGCTAGACAATTTTACTTACCGACTGTGGCATGCTCGCCCATATCTCACCTAAATATTAAACCTATAAAGGAGCAATTTTCTCTTACCTTACTTACTTGAAGAATGAAGTTCTT